ATTAGCCTTTAGATTATCTATATATTCCTCCAGTTTCATTAGGCCTCAGGATTCAGGCCCAGTGACCTAACCAGCTTGATCAGGCCTCAGTGGCCTAAAGGGTTCTAACCAACTTTAATTCAATTACAAATTGACAGTAGATCTGAACAGTTTTCAAGGGAAGAAAATAAATGGCCAACAGATATATGAAAAAAAAGCCTACTGTGGGCAATACAATAGGGGGAGTGGCTACGATCAGTTCCTGATTTTATGAATTAACAATCACATGGAGACAACCAAGAGATTTCAGACAAATATACTATATAGCCACAACACAAAGATGATTCCTTTCAATCTTGCAAGAGGATCTGAAATCAAGAGTATGGGTGCTATTCCTTTGGAGGGAAATGTGGGCGACTTCCTGAGAGTGGTAACATATGGAGAACAGGAAGTTGTTCTGTGAATGGATCAGGAAGAGAAGCAGCACACTCTAGAAGCAGCAACTATTGTGAGGAAAGATCATAGGCAGGATACGCAGCACAACTGGACGGGAATGCAATGGCAAGCCTACAGCAGAATGGAACACAGTTCTGGTTAATCACTGGGGGCCACAGAATGGCTCTACTACCTAACTTGGGGGTCAGTGGGGGAGAGGAGTGGCTTTATCCAAATGGGCTTTTAAAAATGAATCTGAATATGGTAAGAAAAAAAATCTGTTGGGCTCTGTGTGACTCTTTTTTTTTTTGACAGGCAGAGTGGACAGTGAGAGAGAGAGAGACAGAGAGAAAGGTCTGTTGGTTCACCCTCCAATGGCCACCGTGGCCTGTGCGCTGCGGCCAGCGCACCACACTGATTCGAAGGCAGGAGCCAGGTGCTTATCCTGGTCTCCCATGGAGTGCAGGGCCCAAGCACTTGGGCCATCCTCCACTGCACTCCCTGGCCACAGCAGAGAGCTGGCCTGGAAGAGGGGCAAGTGGGACAGAATCCGGCGCCCCGACCAGGACTAGAACCCGGTGTGCCGGCGCCGCAAGGCGGAGGATTAGGCTAGTGAGCTGCGGCACCAGCCTTCTGTGTGACTCTTGAAGTAAACAATTTTTCCTTAACCAAGTAGCACAGAATACACCCTTCCTGAACAATTGTTCAATAGATGAGTATATAAATGAATGAATTTTCTTTAAATTGAGTGCCAAAGAGAGGAATGGAAGATGGTAATAGAAGAAGCAAATGTTTGCCGGTCAATTTGAGGGAGGGGAAACCTGGATAGAGATAAGGAACCAGCAAAACAGGCCTGATTTTTCAGGTATGAGTGAGGGCCGGAAGGAACTAATCTACGCCACCACTTGTCTTTGTGCAGCTCATGAACTAGCAATAATGTCCACATTTTTAAATTGTTGAAAAAAATCCAAAGCAGAGTACTGTTTTGTGAAACGTAAAAACATGAAATCTGAAACACATTTTTCAGTGTTCATAAATAAAGCAACAACATTTTTTGGTTGTTTTTTCAGAAGAAACCAACCTGCACTAAGTGATAGTTAGGAATAAAAAGTTCTTGGGATCTATCGCATAATAAGGTGATTTAATGTTGATGTACTGTGTATTCCTCTCTATAAAAACAACAAAAAAAACTTAGAAGATGAGATTTTGGATGTTTTCACCTTAGAAATGTTGAATGTTTGACAATATAGACATATTTAATCAGATTTGACATTACACAATGCATACTTGTATTGAAAGCTCATATAGCAACATATAATGCATATAATTTTGTTTGCTAGATTTAAAAAATAAAGCAGAGAACTTCCACTTTGACTATGACCCTGCCTGAATAAGATCAAAGTCGGCGAATTCAAAAGGCTTCCATAGCCTTGGCAACTCATGACTAGAGCCTAGGGAGATTCCAGATGCCATAAACAAGAGTGTCAAATTGTTAAGTCAACAACAGGAGTCACTGTGTACTTACTCCTCATGTGGGATCTGTCCTTAATGTGTTGTCCAATGTGAAGTAATGCTATAACTAGTACTGAAACAGTATTTTACACTTTGTGTTTCTGTGTGGGTGCAAACTGATGAAATCTTTACTTAATATATACTGAATTGATCTTCTATATATGAAGATAATTGAAAATGAATCTTGATATGAATGGAATGGGAGAGGGAGCGGGAGATGGGAGGGGTGCGAGTGGGAGGGAAGTTATGGGGGGGAAGCCATTGTAATCCATCAACTGTACTTTGAAAATTTATATTTACTAAATAAAAGTTTAAAAAAAATAAAAAAAAAACAAAGAAAAAAAGAAAAAAGAAAGCAGTAATATGTCATTTAAAAATATTTTAAATTTATAAATATAAAATGGGCACAAGTAGACCAGTCAAAGCAGGATTCAGGAGCTCAGTGCACGTGTTCCGTGTGGGTGGCAGCAACCCAACTGCCTGAGCCACTGCCTGCTGCCTCCCAGGTATATACCAATAGGAAGCTGGAATGAGGAGCAGAGCCAGGACTCGAAATCAGGCACTACAATATGGGATACAGGTGTCCCAAGTGGTGTCTGATCTGCTAGGCCAAATGCCCGCCCCTATATCATTTTTACTACAACTCTATCACATAAAATTCATTGTTCCCATTTACCAATGAGCAAACTGCAGCATATGCTTCAGCCAAGGGCACATAGCTCATTAGCGGCAGGGACACCCACATCGATCAAGCCTTTCCAACTTGGCTGTAAGAATAGTGAGACCAAACATGCTTGTATAGAGGGGTTGGGAGTATTGTGGATGCTAAGAAGACAGTTTTGAAATTCAGTCAGTAAAAATAAATATTTTAAGAAGACACATTTGCAAGTGGTTTACATGAATTGGGTCATTTAATTCGCAAAACTGCTCCATGAGTTGGACACTATTATTTCCAAAATAGAGTGTACTTCAAAAAATTCATGTAAAATGGAATTAAGAGATGTTTATTTTGGTGTAACAAATTTTGAAATCCATGCAGTTTTTAAATAACATGCATTTCCATAAAATTTTTGAAAATCCACTTATATGCATGAATTTCAACAATTTTTGAATCAGAATAAACTTCAATTTTAATTCAATTCCACTAACTCCGAAGTCTCATCATATGTTGGATAAAGAATGGTTTTGGGGCTGGCATTGTACATGGTACAGTGGGTTAATCTATTGCTTATAATGCCAATATCCTGTATGAGCACTGGGTTCGAGTCCTCATTATTCCATTTCCAATTCAGCTCCCTCCTAATGCACCTGGGAAAGCAGTGGAGGATTGCTCAAGTGTTTGGTCTCCTGCCACCCATGAGTGAGCCTTGGATGAAGCTCCCAGCTCCTGGCTTCAACCTGGTTCAGCACCAGCCATTGTGTCGCTCCCCCTCTTTGCGGAGGAACGACACAGGACCCTGCGCTGTTCTTTTGTCTGCTTGGCCCTCCCCGGGTTTGCTGCTGGTTCTTCCCGGGTTGGCTACCGACCCTTCCACCTCCGTGGAAGGGCGGTTCCCCCTGCCACTTTCCCCACTTCCGCGGGGGAGCGGCACACCACCGGCCGGCTCTCTCGGGGGCTGCTCAGGTGTTATTCGGATAGATGTTCCTGGTGCATGTTGTCTCTCTCCTCCTTTATAGTCCTCTTCCACCAATCCCAACTCTGCTACCCACACGCCGAGTATGCTGCTCTCCTCCAATCAGGAGCAGGTCCTACAGTTTATTGGTTGAACTGGAAGCAGCTGTGTAGAAGCTGTTTCCTCCTCTCACAGCGCCATATTGTGGGAGAGCAGATGCATAGAATAAGTCTTAATTCGAATAACAGTCTAGTCTGAGTTGCTCCCCATACCATTGGGTCCATTTTGAGAGTGAACCAGAGAATGGAAGATCTCCCTGTCTCTCCTTCACTGTCTCTGTAACTCTGCCTTCCAAATAGATAAACCTTTACAAATAAATTCTCAT